TTTTCATGATTAATTTGATTGGTATATCTACTTATATTTCCCATAAAAATTGGTTACGCTTAAAATTAATTTCCTTTGATTATTTGTACCATATTGATAAATGTTAAATTTTCAACACATATTGAATTTTTTAATCAAAATTGTAATAACTATAGGTACTCTTATGTACATGCAGAATCTCCATTATTTCAAAAGCTTCAAAATAACAATCATTTTACACTGTCCTACAATTTTACCGAGGGTATTTTTATGACTTGTTTGTATCATGACTTCATGCTTCAAGATAGCATTGAGTATATCTAATGGTACCGTAGTGGGATTAGACGGTGCTTCAGTGTGATTAAACCGTTATCAGGGTGTTATCAGCTGAGTGCGCATACACTGGCCGGTGCAAACACCTGCTAGGCCCACCTGTGCTCACCGCAATATCTCAGAAACTAGCATCTATTATACGTCCACGCTTAATCAAGATATGAAATGCCGGATACCGTTGGATGGATTCCATACTAATAAAATAATTAGGATTTTTTTTAAATTGCTCGTGCCCACCTCGTCACTTAATGTAATTTGTTATTGATGTTACATTATTACAATAACAAAATTAGATTTTTTAACATTTTGGTACATTGACATCGCAAGTTATGACCTAAGAAATAAAGTTCATGGTTACGTAACCTACGCGAAAAATAATTGAAATTAACCTTAATATTTTAGGGTTAATATTTTTACTTCTGAATCCCTATCGCTTGTCATATACGAGTATAGCCAACACGTACATATACTCTATGTACTCAGTACAAACTAGTGTGAGTGCGTAAGTACGCAGTTCGTAAGCGTGAAACACTATTTTCCATGGACAAGGAACCAATACGCTGATAACCGACACCTGTGCTCCACCTGCAACTTTATCATTGCCTTCTATAATATATTTACCACTGAAGATCGCGATACGCAATAAAATCTCGAAGTGTACATATTTTTATCGCGTTTTATTCTTGTGGGATGTAATAATGCTTTTTCCATTTTTTAGTACATGTTGAATCAGCTATTTTAAGAAACTCGCCCATCCTTAGCATTGAGACCTATTGATGACATTATTCTGTAGGCAAATTCGATTGGTATTCAAAGATGTCTCAATATTTTTATATATGAAACTGATAGGCTTTTTCACTGCTATCTCTTATTCCGAATTTAGTAAGTTTTTTAACATTTACGTTTTTTTGGGGTAATAATTTAATCTACCAACTGAAGATCACGATACGCAAGAAATCTCTAAATGTTTTACATCGCATTTTGTTCGTCACAGGTAATGCTCATAAAATGTTGATTATTACAACCTAAGCTCGAATATCCTTAGAAGACAAAGTTTTCACGCTAGGACTGAACGGATGTTGACAATACTTTTTTTTTTACGCACACACTCAACATAGGTACTGCTGTCCATGACGTAACAATTGGCACCAAATTTTCTAACTTCTGTCCGTGTATCAAATCGGATAGGAAACTCAGAAAACTTGTGCATATATAAAATCGTGTCATGTTTCATAGTTCAACATTAAGCTTGTATTAAGCGTAAGTTATAATTATAATGCAAGAATACTTATTAATAATAATGGACACTTGTACCGATGATGTCGAGTTGGCAGTGCGAGCACACCTGTGTTAATTGCGTTATCATACGACATTACTAATTGATAACTTATCATACACACTTTGCTGAAGAATCGTAGGCAGAGGCCGTAAAACTTCACTAGTTACGCTCCTGATAAAACTTTTTCACTAGTAGGAGATAGGCGTGATGTATGAGGTGTAAAAAATCTTTATTGACTGGTTTTAGAGTCAATAGGTATTCGAACGCTAATACCCATAACTGTTATGTACAGTTCTTTAAAACATTCAATGCTAGAGTACAATATAAAAATTATATATCAATATAATTATATATAAGATACGGTTGGACAGGAACGGAACTCAGAATTTCACCCCGTCATTCGACTGGCCCTGTGGCGCAACGGATAACGCGTCTGACTACGGATCAGAAGATTCCAGGTTCGAATCCTGGCAGGGTCGACATCACCAATATTTTGTACCAAGATTTTATTTTCATTTACTATTTGTTTGTACCGTTCATTATCATTAGTAATTAGCCATATTGTTCAAAACTGTGACGCCACTGAGCTAATGTTTGGCGAACAAACGATTGTGAGTCAATGTTTAGCAATATTTTTTTCTCAAGCTATTTCCTACAGTTTTACTTCGTTGTAAGGTGCAGTTTCCTTTCTGGCAATTTAATAGCCGTTGTTGGGTAAAATAGAAAGCTATGTCGAAGAGTCAGAGTCGTTTTTATGTTGGCGAAGTGTGTCGTGGAAATATGTAGTATACACAGCTGACCAAATATTGTACTCGCGATAATTGACCGTGATGCAATCGTGTGATCTCGCTAGATCCGTGTAGGTTTCTATTTTTTATGCCAAAATGGTTTTCTATGAGCAAGTATGAATTTTATTAAAAGCAGATTTTATCACATTTCAAAGCATTCCTACTTTTTACTTGTAAGTGGCTTGCACTGCAAGTATTTTTTAATAGGAAATGGGTGGGATTAGTAAAAATAATATTAGATACTGAATTCATAATGTCGTTTATTTTTTTGTTTGTTTGATATTATCAGAACTTATAAAATCAGTGCAAGTTTTAGAACTTATTAAAAAGAACTTAAAGACAAAACAATTGTGAAATATTGATGAACACTGAAACTTGGCATGACCAGCCGCCGGCCATAGACAACATGTTAACCACAAGTCGTACCTACTGAATCTATTAACAATACAATTTGTTTGACCACTAGCAATCCATCTTCATAACTAAAACTATAACAGTCTATTTAAAATTATAATACATCATAAGTAATAAGATAATTAAAGCATTTTCACCTTATAATCATAAACTCATAAATGGTCTCAAATTGATAAAATTTTCAGCTAAATTTGTATATCTTTCACATTTATTACATAAGTACACTATTTACATAGATAGAGTTACGTGCTCAACGCAAAAATATGTTTTATTTCTGCGTACTACGTTTATAGCACTCACAACGTAATAATTCCATAATCTAATAGCAACTAAATCGCCATGCAAAATCATTAAATCACACTCAAAAAATTATAAATAATAGATTTATCTGGGTAAACCAACTTAGAATTGGTTTACATCTTTGATATAATTGGAAGCATCGTTTTTAACTAAGAAACTAGGAATGAAATAAAGAAATCAAGTTTTGTACAAATTATAAGAACTGTATATATCAATTGTGGTTTATTAAATTTTAAGAACTACACTTTATGTGGAGAGGTAATTTCGGGTAGTATTTGAACTTCGCAAACCACACTGTATGTATTTACAAACATATTGTACATTTCCGGGACTAAATCTAATAAAGCTTTTTACATAATAAACATTATAACGAAACAAGCCCCCGCCGACCGCGGTGGGGAGGATCGATTGCATTGCAATGCTCAAAGTCTTCTGTGCATAATGCCACGAAACAATTAAATTAAAGTACAATATAGTATTGATCGAAACGAGATCGTACTTAGGATATCATCACTTGATGATCTTTACTGGAACTTTTTTGGAAGCTCCCCGGCCTCTGGGTAACCTGAGGACCGGCTCTTAGCCTCCATCGCGCGAAGCGCTTCGAGGTATTGTTAGATTTACACCATAAATTACATTGTCTTTGTAACCTAAACACCAATTAGCACGATGATCTGCTGGGCTGGTTCTGCTTTTCTTGTGTCTGTAACAATAAGAAAGGAAACATTAGGGTTATTATACTAAGGTAAGATAAAAAAAAAATATAACGGAACTAAGAATACAAATTATCAAGTTCATTTTGAGGAAGTCAAAGATGTGACTGCTAGTTGTGACTTTTTGTATCAATAATGTCGACCCCTATTTTGGCGTTTACTAGCAATTACAACAAATTGTATATCGGCTGGCCCATGTGCATCCCGCCCGCGTCCGGCCATCTGCCATCACATATGCGCTCTGTTTCAACACTGTTTTAATTCATTAGTGCCCGGACAATGGGCCGGTTATTTCGCTACCCTAATTAAACTGCTGGCAAGGATGTCGCGTCGAATGATTGCTCGATTAAGCCTCGCGACACATATGTGGTGTTGGTTTGGAATATTGTCCGAGGCTGTTTAGTCTGTGTTACATTGGCCGTTTCAGCGCGACTTTCCGAGTATCGGCAAGTGTTAGATTACCGCTTCCCGTCTGCGTACATCCGCGAGCACGACACAGCTGAGCTGCCGCACGTGGCCACACCCTATTTACGGACACATACCAAAGGGAGAACACACATGTCCCGATCGGATCGGGACTTTGCGAGAGCGCACACGTGAAATCCCTTTATGAGACGAGCATTGTCGCTGGATAATGAATAGGTATGTATTTATTTAGCTATCCGGCCACCGGCGCTGTCACGTGTGCAGTGCGGTGTGCTCACTCGCAGCTGCGAGTTGCGAGCGACCGTTACCCGCACAATGCCCTCGTTCGATCCGTCGCCAATGGAATCCGGCGATCGGCGAAATCGATGCACGTGTGCGGTGGTTTGCAGATATTTCGCGGTGGAGTTGCATTGTCTACGCGCCGCCGCCATTCTGTTTATTAGTTCAAAGAAGCGTAAAGGTGCTCGTAAAACTTTCACGTGCGCAATTTATGCTCGAGGTGCGCGGAGACAAAGATATTCAGAGGACTGAGCGAGCGTGGGTGCGGACACCTGGCGACTCGTTAGTGTTGGCTGTCCGACAGACGCGGCGCGTAGGCGTGAAGCTGGTTGCACTGATACACTATTGGTTCATCATGAGACTTCTCGAATTTTAGAATTGTTTAAAAGATCGGTGACCTTTTTTATTAAAAAATATTGATGGTCATTGTTCCTAGATTGATACTGGGGTTCTCTAATTGATTCCGAAAGGCAGTATGCGGGCGAGTAATTGGATGACTAAGTGATATTGACATTTTGTAATAAAGTTAAGATTGAGGACGTGGGACTTTCTCTCGCTATACAAAGGAAAACAGAACAAATGATGACGAGTGTGGCATGAAAGATAGCGCAAATAGATATGACAGTTATGAATGGGGAGGACTCCATTGTATGGCATAAAAAGGGGTGCTGCCGCAGTGGATTACACGCCTAACAGTGCTCATTATAGTACTTAACACCTTATTAACAGCTGGAGCAAAAAGTCAAACAGCGTTGTTGGTGATCGTGTCTGCATTGGCATTTATAGTCGTGAAGGTGAAAGGGCGCATTCAGCAACAAGTCGAGCCCCTACGCAATAGACGAAAGGTTGAGGGGAAAGGAAAGGTAGAGACAGAATGGAATGAGCTTACGTTAAAAACTTGAAGTAGCGTGTATATGAGTAAGCTATGTAAATCCCACGGTCAATCTCGTGAGCCAAACAGCAGTCGCAGCTGCAGGCAACAATTACCGTGATAGTGGTGCATGCTCGTGACCGGAGGTTTATAGCACACGGCGATGCCCTGCCAGATACCTCGTGAAATGCCGCCTCACGACGTACATGCTTCATATTAACTATACATATATCCCTGCACGATATCTTCGAGTTGTCTAATAATGTTTTTCACTCAAATATGCAGAGTCGGCATTCGAATGTCCTTGTGTACTTTATTCCGCATTTGTATTCAAGAATGCTGTCCGATTAGTCAACATTCCAGCGGTTCCTATATTGTAGGTTGTATATTAGTAAATACTGCATAACGTAATACCGCCGGCGCCTGCGGCTAATTAAAACAGTTGTTGTTTCCACACCATCAACCGTAACGGCAGATTATTATATATTACTATTCCAAGAGATGCTATTCACCTTAATTTTGTATAGGTACATCCGTGAATGGAAAATCCTTCAAAAACAACGAACATTTTGTCATGATTTTGGTATATCTTTATAATGTTGCCAATGTTGAATTAAGCTTGGTACCGGTGTCATTAACCAGACAAAGAGACTAGCAACAGTAAATATCAATTAGAATTACTGTGTAAATTAGTAAACTTTAGTTCTTCAACTTATGCATCAATTGCTCGTGAGCAAGCAGTACAAAAGGTGGCATTGTGGAATTGCGGTCAGCACCTCGCGCCTCTTAAATCACGGTTGTTTTGAACATTTCCTCGATTCCAACAACTGGCAGTGATTAAAATTTACGTGGCGCGACCAAGTATTAACGAGCGCGCATTGCGCCTGCGGCTGCGGCTTGTAATCACCACTCGCAAGGCGCTCGAATAAATCCTGCGCGATGCACCTGCCGCGCGCTGCTCTATGCAGTATACATAAACAGTTATCATTTGGATTGTACTTTAAAACAGTACATTCAGATACTAAAATTTCTGAATATGTAGCGGTTAATATTAAACTAACTGGATATTGATGAAACAGCAATCACGCGCAGGTGTCAGTCGGAATGTTAAACGAGGCAATATAAATAAGTGTTGAATATTCAGATTGTGTGTCAGTACACGGTCGTTTACGCGGCGCCGGCGCAGGTGGCCGCGCTTCAAGGCTGAAATTCAAAACAGCCGTCATGCATGCGTGAGCAGCGGTTTAGATTGCAACTGCTTATTTACCGACTCTACAATTTCGTGACTAAGAGGGTACACGTCAGATGAAAGGAATATGATGGAAAATGTAAACGTTATTTTATGAGATAGTTTTAAAATAAAGCAATATTCAGTTCTGTCTTTATGTTTACTGCGAAGATTTCAGGTGAACTTACCTTACTACGCATTTAGTTAAAGTAAACGGTAATCAGTACTTCAAATTAGCACAACCGTTATCGACAATGGTTAGTGGGGTTAGTAGTTAGCTAATTGTTAAGCATTGTTTGGAGAGTGGCGATGCGTATGTCGCCGCGTGTTGTGAAACACAGCGTCTCTGCTTTTACCTTCCCGCGCTTGCGAAACGTGCAGGTGCGTGGGCACCGCAAAAACACCGGCGATGACGTGCTTGATTTCATTAATTTTTTATGCAACACTGTCTACTCTCCTAACTACGTCTTAAGTTGTACTACGTCTAACCAGCAGTAATTATTGTATGATGCAATTACCAATTACACTTAATTGTTATGTTATTGGTGTGTCATTTTACTAAAGTAAATAATTTAATGATCGATTTTTTTCATGGAAAATAAAAGTTGAATTGCAAGAAATTTACAAGTCCTTGTGGGAAACCAAAATTTTAAAAGACACTATCTCTAGTAAATAGTTTCTGGATTCCAGGAGTACTCACCGTTAAGGTTCTGAGTTCATGCGCGAGGGTTGTGGGTGTGGAGGTGAGGATAGTGTTGGGCGTGACACGAGGACCTAGGGGGCGCCGCGGCGGTCGCTCGGGCGTGGATGCGCGCGGGAGCGCCGCCAGCGGTTCACCTGCCAGCGCTGCCTCCACATCGAACTGGTCTGCAGCTGGATGGTTCTCTAGCGCCGACTGTAGGTCGCAGATGTAGTCGATCACGTGCTGGATTACCTCCAGTTTTGAGATTTTCCGGTTTTTGGGCATGCAAGGCACCAATGCCTGCAGTTTAGACAGGTACATCTGGATCTCGGCATTCTCACCGTCGCGTTGCCTTTGCACACGACCCCTGGCTATCGTTGGGACGGAGGCGCCAGTCGCGCACACTGCTGTGATTGCTTTCATCGTTGTTATGTAGTCACTGAACACGAACACTGGGTCGAGAATCGCGATCGCGTCACACGTGCACCGAGTACGGAGATCGGATGAGGAATGAGGAGATGCGCGCGGCGACGTAGTATTTATGAGTACGGGTGGGGCGCGGGGCGGACCTGAGCGGCCGCGGCCCAATGGGCGTGCAAGGCGGGGCGGGCGGGGGCGCCGAAGCCTGATTTTCCCATGGCGGCTACGGCGGGCGCCGCGTCTGCCTGCGCTAGGCGCTGGACGGCCCTGACTAAGGCCGTTGCGCTCGTGTCATGCACTTTGTCCTGTTCCATTGTTTCTTACTTACATTTCTCTTTTAATACTCATTTGTGCTTCGAGTGTTCAATTTGCCAAGGTTATGTCAGTACTTCTGCTACAAATGGTTTTCCATTTAATTTAATAAAGAATATAAAAAACATACATATTTTTCTCTTTCGCATTCTTTTAGTAATATGTTCATTATTTCACATACCATCCTATAAAAAAAACACCTTCGGATAGGCGGGGTGCGGCGCGGGGTTGTCACAGCGCGGAGGGCGGTGAACAATGGGCATTACGTGACGGCATCCACTTGCCGTGGTCGCACGACCGGCCGCTCTGGAGGCTGGACCAGAAACGTGCGACAATGGATCACTGCACAAAAATAGATAGATAATGAATCAATTCGGTATACAGCCACTAATACATATTTTACACAAAAAACGAAGAAACAATAAATAGGATATTTATTTACATCTGTAGATAACTTTCTTGTCAATCCATTTAAATGGATTGCGCAGGTCATGATGTAGCAAATCAAGGCCCCCGGTTACGGCTCCACTAATAATTTTGAATTAACAGCTCTCATATTTGTTAATATTAACACACTTACGTACTATATACATACACTACGTTTTTAGACCTATATGCCACTCACGACAAGACTGGGTCAAAATCCTGTGCATAACTCCCAGCCTTCTTATCGACTGTTTTAGTTATACATCAATTACATTAAATTAAGTAATAATAAGTGTCTCGACATGCTCTTGATCCTATAAGTACGTAGGTATAGATCCGTGATAGTGACTAATTTGATTAACTGCGTAATGACTTCATTAATTCACAGAAAAGTTAATAAAAACAAAATTGATCTCTAAACTTAATCAAATCGAACTACAAATTATTGTTTTTAAAGAAATAGACATCAAATTATTATTATTATTTCCGTATGATATGCAGGAGAAAAACAATCTAAGCATAGATAGAGAGATAAACACTTTATTCACTCATATGAGACAGATAAAGGTTAAATACAAAACCTCATTACGGCAGTGACAAGGTTGACTCAACATATTATGCCAAAGTTCTTTAAAGTGCTGGTTTTCAGTCAAATAGACGAAGTAGAAATTGTTTTAAGCAAAAATATAAGAAACTAGGTACTACTAGTAAAGTTGTTCTACTAGTACAAGGAACAATTAGAGACACTTGTATGACCAAGAAATTGAAAACAGTGATGATTCCATGTTCACGCGATCTAAAAATGTAATCTTATGAAAGAATGTCTGAGTGCGGCTTGATCCGATCCGACCACACAGAGGTCCGAATCGTAATAATAACACAGTAGAGTAGAGCATAAAAAACGCTCGGCAAAAACTCACGAGTCACCTTGGAGGCGGGAGTAAAGAACTCAGGTAGTGAATTGCTTCATTTTGACTTATTTCCGCATCATTTAATGGGTGATAATGGGAATCGTTAAATTTAACTAAAACAATTCATGGTCAAAAAATATTATAATTTTAATTAATTTCAGTCGTAAAATGGATTTTAGTTTTTTTATCATTCGAATGTTGAACGACGTTCGTAAAGTCTATAAGAACAAAATTTGGTTTGATTTTGAATTGATATTTTATATACATAAAATGATGTTAGGAATGACACAATGCTTATTACTGTACAGCCTTTTGTACGACATTTGAGTTGTAATGCACTTTCTGCGTCTAGTCAAAACGTGTCTTCACGGCTACCTCAGAAATTACATTTACTGAGGCGGTTTATTCTTACCTTTAACGACATTGTCCACTCACGTACCGGAGCCCCTTTTGTTTGCTTTATCTTGCATCAAAAGCACCTTGCAGTGCAATTTACAAGATATTGTGATATTGTCTTAGGTTGACAGGTACTATCCTTTGTCAGATTTGGAGACAACAGACTCAGAAAAAACAAGAGACGAGAAAAAATGCGGCCACAACACCTTAACAACATTCAAAAATTTCGTAAGGTGCTTTTATGGCTGTGTAAATTACAGAGGTGTGGAAAAAATTAGCTTTTCGTCAACAATTTGTTCTCGGCTCTTTATAGCGGGCCTTACCTCACGAAGTGTGAAATTAAGGGCTAAAGAAGATGACAATGTAATTAAATTTTAGTGCGGAAATGTTCCGTACATAATTTTGCAGAAAATGTAACTTTTGCCAATATTAAAATAGGATCGCCCTAAAGCGACTGTGGAAACGGTACATTTAACAATACTGAAGAATCATAACGACATCAATGTTGACAAGGTAACAATCGAGACGTCTGCACTGAAAAAAGATACAATGAAACCATAACAAATGAAACGAAGAAACTTAAGGTTGTTCATAAATGAGTTTGTGTTATATTTTTGTATATAATATTATTCTATATTATAGTTATATTTATAATGTTCATATACGAGTGCATTTGTATTAAGCTTAACAATAACTACACTTCCGGACACATAATTGGAGCCACCACGCATTTTCAGTATTAAGTGCCGTAAGCTTAAACACTGTTCAATGGATCAAAAACTATAATGCAATTTTGAAACTAGTGTACCAAACGTCTTTTCCATAAGTCCTTGTTGGGAATTTGGTTTTGCAAAAACGGGGGGAAACTTTTTCTTCGATGATAACACTATTTTTGTATTCTAGCCCTTTGCGATAAAAATGCGAGGTGGCTCGAAATATGTGTCCGGGAGTATATTTATATAATTATATAGTTACTAATATAATTAAAAAATCCTAGTTTTACTTTCTAGCTTTTATTGTCTTTTTTACCTTACCTGTATGTTATTTATATATATAATATAAGAATTTACTAGTTATTGTGAAGAAGTAAGCCGTGGTAGCCCAATGGGTTGACCTACCGACTCTCAAGCAGAGGGTGGTGGGTAGGAATTCGAGCTCCGAAGTTTTTCGGAATTTAAATTGAAATTTACCGTGACTTTTTTGATGAAGAAAAACATCGTGACGAAACCTGCACGTCGAAGAAAGTTCATAACCCTCGGAAAACGTGGGAAGTCCCCATTTTGTATTGAGCCAGCGCGACGGACTATGGCCTAAAAAACAACCCTCACCTTCGACGAGATCCGTGCCCAGCAGTGGGGCTTATAAATGGTTGATGATTTTGACGGTTGTGAAGAAGCTTCATATTAGGTATTAATTAGTGAATACTATAGACTTATCATCATTCCACTTCATAGTTCGTCACATTAAGGCGTTCTCATTAAGGCCCTTTCACATTAGACGCAACCGTCCCTAACGCGTGCCGTGGGAGTGCCAGACGCGTGCCGCTCCCATCGCGTGATAGCCCATAACCCCCTTTCACCCCTGATCGCCCGCGGCCACCCCCGATCAACCCTGATTGATCATTGATATTGCTCTACAATTTACCTTTGTGAAAAACTCCATATAAATACACCCCATAAAACAATGGCTTTTGAATGTGTAATGAACCCTTCAACCACTTTAGTTTATTAATATGAGAAGTTATTTGCAGTAGAAAACAGTATTACAAATCATAAATGCGTAATTACATGTAAAAATATAAATTATTTATGACGTTGATGTTTATTTTACGTTTGCTTTTTGCAGACATAGAGAAATTCTTAAGCAAAAGATATCGACGTGATTGCAATTAGATAATAGTTTTATCTCTTAGCAATAAATAACTTTAATGATATTCTCTAACTTCAAGGACTATATTTTAATGCAATAAACCTAGAAAGAGTTTGATTATCTATGAAAATAAATATTATGGACATGAATTGCAGATTTAAAATATTACTTCGCCATAAGTTAATAAAACCACCATTACAAATTTCAGTCTATCACCCGTATTAGTAGTAGTAGAGCTCCTTGTGAAAGGGTTCGTCCAGGGAAATATTGCTACCTTATCTATTTCTGCCGCCAAGCAGTAATATCAGCTTTACTGTGTTTCGTTTTTGAGGTGAAATTACAGGCACATGGGACTTGTCAACTTATGTCTCAGGATGACGGGCGCGGTGGCCGTGCCCCTAATATCTTTGCGATTTGAAGCTCTGAGTGGCACTGCAACAGTTATGGACAGGCGTGTAGCTTACCATCAAGCGTGCGACTTGTTCGTCACGTCACATAATATTGTAAAAAAAAAAATTTATCAGTGCTTCAATTATACAACGTTGTATTTTTGTACAATAAAATTCTAACGTTCTTTTCAAACATATGAAGTAACACATTTTCAGACTACTGTTTTATGTGATATAAAAGAGCCTTTTGCAGTTTGGGAGAGTCTCTCCATGTTATATCTTTAGGCCACAAAGCGAGCAAACATCGTGAGCAATATTGGATATTGGACCGTCATTGGCCATACGTACTTATTGACTAAGTAAACAGCGAGGTTCAATTTTCCCTCACTCCCACGGGAGGGTGCGAGAAATCCCTTAATTCGTGCAGGTGCGGGCTCATTACGCGCTTTTCCCAACACGTGGCGGCGCGTGCCCAAATACTTTGTATTGCTGATAGAATGGGTTCCGTGCATTTGAGACGCCTGTATGATCGACGGATAAACAGTCCTGATAATAGTTAGGCATTGAGTGTATCAGATTATATATTGCCAATATTGTGTTTCTTTGAAATCCTAATTATATTAGACAACATCACATACGTCTCGTACTCGTACTCTAATCCCAAAGCAAGTAACTAAAACACTTGTGTTATGGAAATTGGAAACAACGATGGTACCACAAACACCCTGATTCGAGAAAATATAGAAAAGTTAGTTTTCTACATTAATCCGGCCAGGGATCGAGTCCGGGACCTCAGAGATGGCAACGCCATGAAAGCTGGTGTGAAGCAACTCGACCACGGTAGTCATCAC